CTCAGGGCATTCCCCCCAATTTTTTTTTTTTTCAGTTCCTCACAAAGGAAAGTTTCTATTATTACTTCTACCTTGAAGATTTGAAGCCTAGGCACAAGAAGGCTGAGCAATTTCTCTGGGGTCCCAGCTAACATAATGCCAGGAACTGGGAACTAAAAGCAAGTATCCCAATTAAGGACAAATCCTCCATCTGTCCTGCTCTCCTAAAGATAATTTATGAAAATAAAGACAAAATTATTTTGTCTTTTCAAGCTAAGGACGTTAGCTCAGCATTCAGAACTCAAATATTTATAACATGGCAGTTGGATCAGGCCCACAGGTATCTCCTTGAAAGTGCTATTCTTTTACCAATTAATTTGGTTAAGATTTTGAAATTTTTGTTTTTAAAAAACGTGTTTGAGAGAGAAAATTCACAACATTTTAAGGGTTTTTGTGAAGTAGTCCATGAATCAAAGATCTTTGAAAATCAGTGTCTGAAATGGAGTAATACTCTCTTTATAGGAACAGTCAACTGGAAATACCAATGCAAATGGATTCCTCATTTATTAGATGAAAAGCAGCTTTTCTTCAAACTTTAAAAAAAGAAGATTCTCTGTAACTGATAGCATATAGAACTTTGAAATCTTGTATATTATGATGCCACTATCTCAGGATTTCAAAAGAGTAATCAATAGACACTTGGAATTTTAATGATTTGACAGAATTCTGTGCACAGAAATTAAAATCCCAGGAGAACAAGTGTCAGCAAAGAAATTCCTAGCCTGAGGGACAAAATGCCACCTATGTGACTTATTTCTAATCAACTACTCTCCCCTGAGATTCTGTGCAGTCCTTGGTCACAGAACAGAGCAGCAGCAGGCAGATACGGGCAACAATCCCCAAACCTAGACTTCACATTCAGTGTCCTTTAATTACAGGAACCTACCAGACGTATTTCAATACATTGATACATTTAGGATTTTTTATTTGGGAAGGAAAAAATGTGATGCTCCTGTTGTTGGTTTCCAAACAGAATCCAATGCTTTACTTGGTAAGGGAGAATTATTAAATTTAAGTAGGCCGTGCTTGCATTTGGAGTATGACGGAACTTCATACTATGCGTGAATTCAAGGCAGAGCTGTGGAAATGCTCTTGCTGGAATTATCAATACAAGGACTAAGTAAAATCATTAACTCCTCTATAATACATGTCAAGTATTTGGTTGAAACTCTGATTCACCCCGGACAAAAACACTGACTTTCTCTCTTCAGCTCCTGGGTATGCAAATTACATTCTAAGAAAGAAAGCAATTATGAGTTTTTAAAATGTCAGATATTAGGAATGAAGAGTAGAACACAGAATCCTGTGGGGTCATAAGTTCATTCATTGTGGGGTCATATGTTCAGTCTGTTTAAAGAATATTCCACCAATTAGAGTTAAATAATACCCAAAGGGGGGGGGGGGGGACAAAGATAGACAAAAATGTCAGGACAGGTGTCACACTTCCTCAAATACTTCAACAATTATGATACTAAAAGTTTCCAATTACTCATCATACCCTTTGCCGCATGGCACTTAATTTCCTAATTTTTTCCCCTTTTTTAAACTTCTCACCAATTAAAAAATTCATGATGTATGAAACATATTTGCAACTTTTACAAATTTAGAAACTAAGATAGCTTACTGACCAAAAAAGTAAAGCACAGGGTAATACAAAGAATGATTCTCTAGTGTCTTCTAAAGTATATATCTTGCTTCCTAAGCTTAAGTATGAAAGTTATCATGTATAAATACTTTTAGATAATAACAACACTTTTTATTAATAATGGCATACACTCAGAAGTGCGTATATGGCAGGGGAAACTTTTGCTTTTCATTATTCTCCCTTTCCTGTTACTAGAAACTTGTATTTTTTTGTTTGCCTTCCTCTGTAACTTAATTCTTTTTAGCTACAAAAAGTTCCGGAACCACCCTGCAAGCTTCCACCACCCATGTGCTCAGCAGACAGCCTCTCCAGTAGAGGGCACAGTAGAGCTGACAGGAAAACATGTGTCCAGTTCAAAACACTCTCAAGCCGCGGTTTTGCTGTGCAGTATTTACCTCCTATTGCAGTGTTTCTCCTTCCACCACTGAATGGAAAAGATGTGTCATCTTAATATTAAGCAATTCCATTTACCTAAAAGCCAGTTGCAACCAAAAAAACAAAGGGAAGTCATTAAAGACTGCAGTTTTCATTTTAAATATACTGGTCTGCTTACCTTAATACCAGCTGTCAATTGGAAATGGTTTGCAAAAAAAGTAAATAGTTACTTTAAACACTTATAAGAAACATCTAGAATGGTCTATATTTCAAGCAGTTACTTACATGGATACATATACATTTATGGTTGTGAACTTATCTGATCTCTGAAAAATTCACATACCAGTTTACTTATTTTTCATTTGGTTTTTTACCCAGAGGACATTAAGTATCTATCATGAGCCCGATATTCTACGAAGCTGTGACATTATCTTGAATTTTAACAGTACTTAACATTTATAACTTAACTCTGAATTAATCTTTTAATGATTTTTCTACCTGGAATAACTATGCTTCAGATATTTCCTTTTCCCCACATATGCAAATTAAGAAAGACAAACTTTTGTACAATACTTTAAATACAGAGGCTTTTCATGAAAGATTCACATAATATCCAATGAGGTTGACAAAAAAGACACATTACTCTTATTAGAGATGAGACACTGGTGCTTAGGAGGTGGGATGGGACTGTCCCAGTAGTTACTTAGTATTTACCAGTGAAGCCAAGACTCTAACTAGGTATCCTAACACAAGTCCAGCTCTCCTTGCTGCCTCTTTGTCAGAACTCCTCTTGTTTTCCACTATGAGTGAATTCTACCAACCAAAATTCTAAGTGAAAAACATATTGAGGGTTATACTACCAAGAAAAGCAAATGTTTACATATTACACATATTTAACAAATAAGTACTTAATCATCAGAAAGTGAAAATAGCTGTAGGAAATATCATGCAAAGTTCTTTTAGAGATGAAAAGCATATGCTTGAGAAAAATTATATTCTTACATTTCACAAACTTGCTTTCAAATATTTATTACTGAAATCTAAATGATTTTTCCTTCCGTACTGAGTACATGGCTGTTCTCTTTAGTAATAACTGTAGGTTTTACTCCCCAAGTCAAACTTGGAGCTCCAACTACCGGCAGCTCATCATAAGAATACGGTAAATTAGTTCCAATTTTCTTTTAACAGCTCTAATACAAAGTAGAGAACATACTTGCAGCCTGTATTAAAACAGCAGAGACCACTTTGCTGACAAAGGTCGCTATAGTCAAAGCTATGGTTTTTCCAGTAGTCATGTATGAATGTGAGAGATGGACCATAAAGAAGGCTGAGCAACGAAGAATTGCTGCTTTCAAATCGTTGCGCTAGAGAAGACTCTTGAGAGTCTCCCAGCAAAGCGATCAAACCAGCGACCAATCCTTAAAGAAATGAACCCTCAATATTCATTGGAAGGACTGATGCTGAAGCTCCAATCCTTTGGCCACCTGATGCTAGGAGCAGACTGACTGGGAAAGACTCTGATGCTGGGAAAGACTGAGGGCAGGAGGAGAAGAGGGTGACAGAAGATTAGATGATTAGATGGCATCACCAACTCAATGGACATGAGTTTGAGCAAATACCAGGAGATAAAGAAGAACAGGGAAGCCTGGCAAGTTGCAGCCCATGGGACTGCAGTCAGAAATGACTTAGGGACTGAACAACAAAAACCTTGCTGTTAATCTGCCTACTTAGATGCTTCAGGAAAAAAACACCTGAATATTCCACTGTACAATCCTAATAATGGTATATGAAATCAAGTCATTTTGGAGTGGCAGTTATCTACTTACCCTTACCAATCAAACCAATTAAATCCTGCTACAGCAAGATGATTTCTGAAGAAATCAAGACATTAAGCTTATCCAAAGAAGCTGGGAGCGCCTGCCTCCCTCCACCCCCACCTCTCTTTCTTGCCAATTAAAGTGTTCTGGCAAATTCTAAACCAACTAAGAGTGACTCAGGAGGAAATCCTGCATGCTTGCTCTTTTACACTAAAATGATTCTGGTGCATGATAACTGCGAGCTCTTGGTGATTCCCTGTTAAGAGCTGTGATTTTTCTGTTCTGGAAGGAGAGGCGGCCAAGGACTCCTGAGAAATAAATCTGCAACCCCACGGACCGACCCAGCCACGAGCCTGCTGGTAATCAAAACCGCACACCCAGTTAAAGCACTTTCTCCTCTTTCTTCCCTGACCAATGTGCATTCCCCCACAGGGCTCCAAGATGCTCGGGCACGCTGCAGAGCAGATCACACTACTGCCCCTGGACTGTCATTGTTCCTCCCATTCCGTTTCCTTCCGCAAATCAAAAGGCGTCTCAAAGAAGAACAGGTGAGGGTCAGTTCCCAGATCGAGAAAGGAGGCGCGGAAAGAAGACTTGCGCTCCAAAAACACATCCCCTTGTAAACCTAATTCAAAATAAGGTTACTGCATTCGGCTTCCCAATAAGCAACCTTTACCTGCTGGGAATCACGGCTCCCTTTGGGGTCAGGAGCTCTGGAGCACGGGGGAGGGAATGAGGGAAGAGGCGGGGAGCGAGCGCCCCCGCCGCGCCTGCAGCCAACCTGGCTCCCTGCCCGCCACGGCCCTGCGACCCCACGGCAGGCCGCCACGACTGGGCAAAGGTCGCCCACGACCGCTCAAAGGGGAATTTTCTCTGACCCAACACCAGGGCTTCTGGCCCGACTGCGCACGAAGCCCGGGCAGCGGACGTCAGCGGAGCCCCGGCTTCCAGACCCTTCGGCGGCGCCCGTGACCGCGAGGCCCGCGGCCCGCCGTCAGCCAATGGGCGCCCTCCGGGGGCGGGACCGGCGCCGTGAAGCCCCGCCTCCGCGCCGCCGCCTGTTATAAATACGGGTGCCGGCGCCCGGGCCCCCCTAGAACGGCGTTCCCAGGTGCCAGGCGATAATGCAAAGTGCTATGTTCCTGGCTGTCCAGCACGACTGCGGACCCATGGACAAAAGCGCTGGCACCGGGCCCAAGAACGAGGAGAAGCGAGAGAAGATGAAGCGAACCCTGTGAGTGCGGCTTTCTTCCTCCTTGACTGGCCGCCCCTACGGACCCAGCTGTCCCGGGCGGCTGCAAACGGGGTACACTCGCGCTGGGCTTCGGCATGGGAACTGGGTAGCCCGCCTGCGTCTCTGCAGGAAAAAAAGAAAAATTGTGTGTGTGTAAAAGGTTAATTTGTTAAGTTACGTTTAAATCTGTGTGATGTAAGTATTTATCGAAGGCTCGGGTAGAGTTTAGAAACTGCAGAAAATTCTTGATGCAGGGGCGGAGGTAGATGCGGGTTGGCTTTTTGTCTCCCTGCATCGAAAATGACTTCGGAGAATCCTGCGGCCACACGCCCCCGGCCTTCGTGAGAGGCACTGTAAATTCTGATCTGCTTACACGACTGCTGGGATGGAGATATTTTTGCTGATTCTAGATATGCTTTTTTTTTTTTTTTTTAAACTGAACAGCAAATCACACTCAAGAGTGTGGAACAAATAATTGTTCTGCATCACCTTCTTAAAATGAGTGCTGCATCTGGGGGAGGCGGCGGTCAGTCTCACACACACACACCTCATTGTGCTCAGCTTATCGGGTGGTCCCGAGCCTCCTGCTCTGACGGTAGAAGGAAAACGAGCATGGGCTGGCTCAGGGCAGGTCCACTGTGGGCTTTCTCAAGTGTGAAATGTCTCAGAATTGTAATTAACCGTTGCAGAAAAACTGGCTGCCTTTTGTGGGCCAGAAATAGTATCTGCCTTTGAACTATGCAAACTAAATTCATTAAAATACCCTATAATTGTAGGTCGTCCTATCCTTACTTATAAAACTAATAATTATGTTCAGATGAGTGGATGAAACTAGTGTGTTGCGTACTCAGATGCTGGATTAAAGGAGTAAGACTGACTGGAGGAGTTGTTTTGTCTTATTTGGCTTGTCTGTAGCTACTAGGGGCAACTTTATTTGGTAAAAATGCCTTCAGCTGCAGTGGAAATTTCAAGTGTTGCCACTAAGTATCTTTTTTTTTTTCTATTGTAGATTAAAAGATTGGAAGAGCCGTTTGAGTTACTTCTTGCAAAATTCCTCCTCTCCTGGGAAGCCCAAAACTGGCAAGAAAAGCAAACAGCAAACCTTCATCAAGTAAGTTGAAAATCTTGTACTTGCCAATATGCACAGATCACTGCTGAGCTGAAGAGGGAACCTCTGGCTAGCAGGAGCTGATGTGCAGATCTTCTCTTGCAGGCCTTCTCCCGAGGAAGCCCAGCTGTGGTCAGAAGCATTTGATGAGCTGCTAGCCAGTAAATGTAAGTTAACCTCTTGAATTTGATCCATCTCAAGTATCAGGAGAGTATGGAAAGGCTGTGTCCACACAGCAAGAGCAGCTTGCCCCAGGAGAGTTGGACTTGACAATCCCTGTAACATGGGACCTATTTTTCCCCTTTATTTCCAGTGATTAACCAGGGAAATGCATGGCTTTTTCACTATAGGTGGGGAGTGGGGGGAAATAGCCCCAGTTTTTAATGGCAGTTGCTGTCTGTTAAGGTTGAGTCAGCTTTTCCATTGCAAACAATGTTTTCAAGAGGCTTCATTCCCAAAGAACTTATGCCTCCCCTATAAGTTGTGTTAACAGCAAAGCTAAGTTATTATATTTTTGTAGTAGTGTGCCAACTTACGTATTTTGCTGACTAGCATCTTAGTCATTAAAGAGCTAAATTTTGAGGATTACAGGTTTGAGTAAAATTGAGAAAATTGTTGCCATCTGGCAATAGTAAAATACGGGGCCAGGGGAGTGGGAGTTTTTGGAAAACACATAAGGGATTATTTGGATACTCAATGCAATTTCTGCATGCTTTCCTTCTTCTCTCCCCCAGATGGTCTTGCTGCATTCAGGGCTTTTTTAAAATCTGAATTCTGTGAAGAAAATATTGAATTCTGGCTGGCCTGTGAAGACTTCAAAAAAACCAAGTCACCCCAAAAGCTGTCCTCAAAAGCAAAGAAAATATATACTGACTTCATAGAAAAAGAAGCTCCAAAAGAGGTAAAGGGGGAAATACGTTCCTTGTTTCAGCATATTTTGAACATCCTCAGCACCAAAGTGAAAAGAATTTAAAGAGACCTCAAATTAAAGGGGGGTGGGTGAGTAAGCTGTTTTTCCCCTACTTCAGGCTCTCAGTGAGGTAAATTACATTCCTTTACTGACTTAGCTGGTGACACTGGCCACACATTATAGTTTGGGTTTTTTGTTTGTTTGTTTTCAAATACTTTGTATATTTCAATTTCTAACTCTTAATATGGAATAAAACTTTGTTGTTTTTATTTCAGATCAACATAGACTTTCAAACCAAATCTCTGATTGCCCAAAACATACAGGAGGCTACCAGTGGCTGCTTCACAACTGCCCAGAAAAGGGTGTACAGCTTGATGGAGAACAACTCTTATCCGCGTTTCTTGGAGTCAGAATTCTACCAGGACTTGTGTAAAAAGCCGCAGATCACCACAGAACCCCATGCTACATGAGATGAAATTGGGAGCCCAGAAACGGAGGACATTTCATTTTTTTTCCTAAGGGGAAAGGCTGTCACCTGCCGAAAAGACTTGACCTTGAATTCAGCCTGGGTGTTCAGGAAACATCACTCAGAACTATTGATTCAGAGCTGGGTAGTGAATCAGGAAGCCGGTCGCCACGTAGGAGAAGCTGGTACTGGGACAGCTTCCGTAACTGATGGAGCACAGAGAGAGAGTTTGGTCTAAATGTGGTGTGTCTCACACTGCAAAAACAGGAGCTTGAGACTGAAAGATAACGATGTAACACTATTGGTCCAGAAGCATTTACAATCAATAGGTCTGGGATTATGTGGCCTTAGCTAGCTGGCTGTACATCTTTCCCTAAATCAGTCCTTGTTACCACATAGTGGTTTAGATGTAGTTTCTTTAGTTTTAGGTAATATATGTTTACTATGTGCAAGGGTATTGAAGTTCCTATGACTACAGATCATTAGTACTGTTGTCTCACATAACTCTAAAACTGAAACGACCTGTGTTTGAACTGTCAATTGCTGTCTGTACTAGAATGAGTGCTTCTGTGTAGAAAATGACAATGTCCATTATGAGTGCCAAAAACTGTCCTGATGGCAGCTAAACTTTGAAGTGGTCTTTGAATACTTTTAATAAATTTATTTTGATAAATAATGTTATTGAATATTTGGTCCAGATGTGTGTTGGGATGTTTTTTCTTAAATTAGGCAGAAACAAGTATCTCCTCTAGGAGAGAAGAGATATCAGTTGATAGGCCTGTTGAGTAACAATTGACTGTCCTTAGAATTGAGAAATCACAGCTGCTGGGAAGATGCTGCTCCCATTTCTAATGCTTTGGTAGGTCACAGGAGGGCAGATCATCACCCTGGGATCAACCCTCTAATATAGTCTTGTAAAAATCAAGCTTGTTGAAAATATAAGAACATTGCTTTAAAGCCCTTCATGAAGCTAAACATGAGAAGTAAATTGATGTAACAGAGACGACCAAAATTATTGACATCACCAAGCCACTCAAAGATGCCAAATAAAGATGAAAGTTGTCAGTTGCTCAGTGTTGTCTGATCTTTGTGACCCCATGGACTGCAGCATGCCAGGCTTCCCTGTCCTTCACCATCTCCCAGAGCTTGCTTAAACTCATCTCCATCAAGTCGGTGATGCCATCCAACCAAAGATGAAAGTAGGCCTGCCTATTTATTTCTCTTGGTTCCAAGTTCCCACAGGGTCTGTACGTGAGCTTCCAAGATCCATACTTGAAACTGTTCACTTCCATGATGAATCAGTACAAAGCCAGAATTTCCCTGATTCACCTGCCTTCATTTGGCCAGTATAGAATCTGGCTATATTACTGCAGCTAATAAGGAAGGCAGGAAACACAACTTTTGTGGCTAGGACTTCATCTAGAAGTATGCTCTTTCTTTCTGTGGTTGAGAGACCATGAGTCTTATTTTTCAAAATGAGACCATTGAGAAAGAAATACTGTTCTCTTGGCAGACTGCCTTTTCAACCTTGATGATGGTCTTCATTTTGAAAAGGAGTAGGAACCCTCATCTTGGAAAAACTGAGCCCATGTACTGATTTCTCACACCTCTGTGACCTTAGGAGTCTCCATCTGTACTGGCTCCTCAAGTCATACCTTCCTGTCTGTCCCACTTGTTCCTGTGAGGTAGTAAGAGGCTTTAGAAAGCGTAAAGCATTTTTAAAAAAATACATTTATTCTGATCTGCCAGAAGAAACATTGACCTCCCATAGTTGATTGTTTTTATCTTGCTTGCACTGATCTTCACCTTCACCAGCCTTACCAGAAACAATAGGCACTCTATCCATAAGAGACTTGAACTGGTCCACTCCTGTGTCACCAGCAACCAGATACATAACAGGTGCTCCATAAATAGTGATAGAATAAAAATTCTGAGGCTCACTGAAAGAGATTTCTTTGGAGAATAAATATGTCAGATCTGCACAAGCCCTAATTTGGAAACATTTCTCCAGTGGAGAAACCCAGGAGTCACACTAAGTATCCAGTTTGTCACCAAGTGCTATTTTACTCCAAGTCTTTCTCCAGCCTGCTTTCTGTTGCCAGCCTGATTCCAGAAACCACCATCCGCTCAGGCATCTGCCCTAGTCTCAAATCATCGGCCCTCGCTCACTTTTTGCCTCCTCCAGTGTGTTCCCTGCTTTGAACTCTAGGGATCCTCTCAACACAGAAACCTGATCTTATCTCCCATTGCTTATAAACCCTTGACAGTTTTCCCAAACAATCAGGACAAAGGCATCCCTAAAATGGTCTAACACCTGTGTGGGCTTGACCCCCTCCTTCCACTCCATCCTGTCTCCACCACGAGTCCCCCAGCTCTCTCTGCAAGCCTCACCAACCTGCTTCCACTCCCCCGTGGTTGCCAGGCCCACTGCTCCCACAGGGCCTTTGCCCATCATAGCCCCACTGCACGGAATGCAATTTTAGCTCTTCCTCGTCATTTACAGATCAGTGCAATTGTCACTTCCTCGGGGAAGCCTTCCCTGACCTCCTTACCTGGGTCAGATGGTAAAGAATCTGCCTGCAGTGCAGGAGACCTGGGTTTGATCCCTGGGTTGGGAAGACCCCCTGGAGGAGGACATGGTAACCCACTCCAGTATTCTTGCCTGGAGGAGCCTGGTGGCTATAGTCCATGGGGTCGGAAAGACCCGGACGTGACTGAGCGACTAAGCACATCATTTACAGATCAGTGCAGTTGTCACTTCCTCAGGGAAGCCTTCCCTGACCTCCTTACCTGGGTCAGATCCCCTTTTAGACTTTCTCACCAGCTTCTCTAATTTAGCACGCTTAATAGAATTCTCATTTATTTGTACGATAATAATTCTCTTTTCCCCCTGGATTGCGGATGTCACAATTCAAGGACTCCATGTCTTTTTCTGCTCACTGCTGAATCCCAACATCTAGCGCCTTGCCAGGCACACCATGCCAGCTGCGTGAATCATTGTCAAATGAATGAATGAATAAATGAGTGAATATTAACAACTCTTAAATTTCAGTGAAACAGAAAGTATCAACCAATGCACAAGGAACTAAGGACGGGTTTTAAAAGCCCCATTTCTGCAAACATCTGAAAATATATTTTCTTGGCAAAAAATAAATACCCCTTGCTAAGCATGCTGTCCGTGACTTTTGACCTTTAATAGAAGAAGCCAGATTATAGTAACAAAAAGAAAGAGTTCTGACTTTTTCAGAGCTGCTAAAAGTACAGACTTTACTCAGTTGGTATTTTCCAATGTGCTTTAGTGTAGAACAAGCTGAAATAGACTTAAGATTAGAAACCGCATACTTCCACAAATAAATATTACTTACTGTTCTCATTTCTCAAGAGTTTGTACTCTTAGGATCCACAGTCCACTTATTTTGATAACATTTTGTTTTCCATATACTTTAAGTTCAGGAGCATTTCAAGATGTAATTTCATACAGTCCCACCAAAAAAAAAAAAAACAGAATTGCGTATCATCTGTCATGTGAGCACAGAGAGGCAACACGTGTTTCAATGAGGTGATTCAAAGTGATCACCCAAAATTTCATAGGAAATAGGTATTTGGTAGAGGACTTATTTGTCTGACCACAATATCTGATCATTTCTGGCAGTGATTCTCACTGTGAGGAGCTGAAGAGTGAGGAGGCGGTGTTTTTGTCAATGGCAAAAAGATGAGGTTTATCTAAATTTTGGCATTGTACCTAGCTTTGACTTGCTTGAGGCAACAATAACCACCCCCAAAATCTTCTGTGGCCTGCTTTGAAAATCTAAAACTATATCCCAGACTCTTTGAGTAACTACTATTGAGGACCATCACTTTTAACAACTGCATAGTGTTCTATAGCATGCATTTGTTATAATTAATTTAATTCTCCTCTGTTGAACACTGTAGTTTTTCTATTATATATGTTCTATAAACAGTATGAAAAGTTAATTTCCTTAGTTATGTGAGTGTATACACATTATGTACTTGTAAGCATATATACGTATGTATGTGTAAATGATGTATGTATATTAAAATTTTTCATCTTAAAAAAAAAAAAGAAAGAGGAATCACCAGCAGGAGTAAGCAGTATATTCTAGCCTGAGGCGATAGCACTGATCAAAAGCCTGATATTACCACTGGGGGCCCATGATTCAGCATCACCAGAGTATCTGGCAGGATAAAGCTGGGATGGGTGTTAGAAGCATGGCCCAGAACCAGGTGATAGACAGCCTTGAATGCTAAAGATTAGGATTTTATTCTGAGGGAATGGATACCAATCTCAAGCGTACAAAAATAACCTGGGCAGCAAATGAAGGATGAGTTGGAGTCAAGGAATGAATTTTAAGACTGCAGTTATAGCCCAAGTGAGACATGCCATGTGCCCAGGCCATAACACTACCACCAAATAAGGTAGTATCGCTTGACAGCAAATTTTATCAGTACATTTATTCACAGCTCTGATCTCAACCATACAGGGGGTCGTGTGACACGCTACCTGTCCTCCGAGAGGTACCAATTAAGTATCTGATGAAATAACGCGCAAAAACTGAAGCATGACATGGGCTACGACTGCTGATTAATTAGCCAAAGAGAAGTGCAAAAACCTTTAGCAGGAATGAATCAAGAAACAAAGTGAAATGGCATTTTTAAGAGATTTTTTTTAAATGGATCTATTAGCAAGGATGAAGGGGATAATGTCAGGGTGGAGAAATAGTTTAAATAACAGGAAAGGAAGAAAGAAGGATTTCACTTAGCATTGTGCTGTGATATACAACAGCTAAATGAACACAGATACTGTAGGCAGATACTTTTGATGGGGATATACACTTGAAAAGTATTTCATTGATTTGTTCTTGGCAAATATTTACGAAAAGTTTCTCTGAGCAAGGAAGATGTGAAAAAGCAGAAGAAATGGTCATCTATTGAGAAGGATAAAAAGAAACAGAAAGGCTGTAAGTCCAAAATGACAACTAAAAG